GTACAGAGGAAGCATTGTTGAAGATAAAGCAGGGAGATAGTTATGAGACTTGCAGTAATCTAGGCAAGATAAAATAATGACTTAGATTAGGGTGGCAACAGATAAGATAGAAAGAAAAGAACAAATTTGGGATATATTTTGGAGGTAGACATGGTTGGACTAATTCCGAATTCTCCAATAAATTCTGAAAATTCAGATGAATTCTGAACTCATACATCTACTATGTGCTATGCATTGTGCTGGGGATAGAAACATTAAAACAATACAGTCCTTACTTTTAAGGAGTTCATAAAACAGCAGAGGGAATAGATGTACAAATAATTATAATATAGTATGATGAACATATAACAATAGAGTTAAAATAATAACAATAATAGAATTACGTGCAAGGTAAAATGCAAGTCCAAAAGAGGAAGAAATTCATTGTGCCTGAATGCAGGGAGTAGTTACAGAAATCTTCACAAAGGACACAAAGAATTATCTTTGGAAGGATAAAAGAGTAAGGGAGTAAAATAGGCACAGGTACATGAAACAGCCGGTGAATGCCAGAAGCCCTTAGGATGAATGAAACCTAGACTTTAGGAAAGGGTTTAGTGTCAGGAAGAAGCAATTGAGGGGCTTTAGGGGCTTTAAGAGAGAAATTATAATATTATATTTGCATTTATAAAATATCACTCTGACCTTAAAAGAAGATAGATTTGAAGAATGCAAAACCAGAGGTAGGAGGACTTCCACTTCCAGCCATGATGTAGCAACAGAAACTAGATTTATCTTTCCACTTAATTAGAAAGCCAGACAAAATATATGAAACAATGTTTTTGCACGTTGGGCAACAAGCACTGCAAGACTATGAACCCTGAGAAATGGGGAAAAAATGAATACGTGATTTCCCCAACTTACTGCCTGGAGGAAGTTTCCACACTGAAGAGAAGGGAAGGGGAATTTAAAGGGTCTGATGGTCTTACTGAGTTGAGGAGACAGATATTGGAGTTTGGGGAGGCTAAGCCAGCTAGTACTGGTGGGGCAGAGTGTCAGAGAGGAGAGAACTGCACAAAGACAGAGCTTTACGTAGCCTGGGCAACACAGTGAGAGCCTGTCTCTACAAAAAAAAATTAGAAAATTAGCTGGGTGTGGTGGTGCACACCTGTAGTCCTAGCTACTAGGAAGGCTGAGACAGGAGGATCGCTTGAGCCCCAGGAGTTTGGGGTTACCATGAGCTATGATTGTGGCACAGCACTCCAGCCTAGATGACAGAGCGAAACTGTCTCTATTTAAAAAAAAAAAAAAGACAAAAAGACAAAGAAAGAGCTTTGGAGACCTGCAGAGGGTTCTCTCTGGATCTTTGGCTGAGTACTGATCTGTGCATGCATATAAGGAAACTGTTTTTCCTTTTATTTCAGAGCCACACTTCTCCCTGGTCCCTTGATGAATGGTTCTGGTAGCAGGATCAAAGCAAAACAGGGCTCAGAGCTGAGTTTACAGGGAGATGAGCCATTTCCAGATCTATAGTCTGGACTGTGGTCAGTGAGTCTGCCAGCTGGGTGCAGTTTTGCCCTTTCAAAAGGCCCTCCTCAGTCTTGGACTGCACCAGTGTTTCACAACCTCCTATGTGGATCGCAAAGTTCCTGTAAAGACACTTTTTTCTGTAGATGGCCAAGAAATTAATGTTGCTGTGGGGGGGGGGGCATGAGAGGAAAATCTATTCCACTATCTTGGTGACATCACTTTGCTATTGTTTTTATTTCAAAGTTTTAAATATGGTGGCCAGGTACGTTGGCTCACACCTATAATCGTAGCACTTTGGGAGGCCAAGGTGGGAGGATTGCTTGAGGAAAGGAGTTTGAGACCAGCCTGGACAACACAGTGAGATCCTATCTCTACAAAAAATTAAAAAATTAGCCAGGCATGGTGGCACATGCCTGCTTTCTTCAGTTTTTGCTGAGGTGGGAGGATCACTTGAGCCCAGGAGTTCAGGGTTATAGTGAGCTATGATCATGTCACTGCACTCTAGCCTGGATAATAGAGCAAGACCTCATCTCTTATTAAATGAATAAATAAACAAACAAAGTTAAAGTATAAATAAATGCCAAATTGATGATGGGTAGAATGTGGTTTGTACTGTGTTAATTTGGTTAAGCTAAAATTATGTTTCCCAGAATTCTTTTCTCTGTATGGTTCTGGGTTAAAGTTGACACAAAGAGGAATTTTTGCAATATTTAGAAGACATAATTTAAGTATAAGCCATTACTCTGTGAAGCTCATCCTGCTTAGATGTGGTAACAAACTACAGAGAGGCTGGGGGTTCCAGCTTGTCCTCACTCCTCTGCCTTGTGTCTAGTTCTTCTTTCCAGTGTCCATTTCTTCCTTCCAACTTCTGGTCATGTTGGCAAACAGTGGCCCCCGGCCTACCACCAGATGCTTGGCAGCACACTGTCAAAGGCAGTTGCTACTCAAAGGCACAGCTTTCCACGGACATTCCCACAAGCCTTTCCTCTCCCGTCTCATTTTGGCAGTCGGACAAGGTGGCTTCTCAGATTAACTGACTGGTAACTTCTCTGATTCTCTAATTTCTCTCCTGAACCTTCACTTCCTCAGCTCTTCTTACAATTATGTAAGATGTAATAAGTCCTATAATAAGTTTCTTATCCCATACCTGATAGTGGTTCTTCCCTCATAGAACCTTGACTGCTAGAAAGAGGAAAAATCTTGATGGAATTTGAGCCTGTTTCACCTGTTCCTGAGACCCAGTTACAACCTTGGGCTTCCTATATTTAGTTGTTCAAACATTATTCAGATTCTGTTTATGAAACAGTTTTTTTTCCCTTAAGCTAACTTGACTTCATTTTCAGGTATTTGTAATCAAAAGAACTGTAATTAATACCATATGGCAATATTAATTATGAGTGTCATGCATTTTTGCATGTCTGTGTTTAGAGACACAAACTGCTGTGTTCTAAACTATCTTTTTAAGGATATTTATATAGCAAACAACCTTGGAAGATATAGTAGCTCCCTCTGGTGCAAAGCCCTCAGGAAACAATGAAAAAATGATGACACTCTGCTATTGGTATAAAAAATAAATAATAAAATGGCCTTTGTCTCTAACACAAGGAACATGAAACTATTGTGGGCTAACTTGTCAGCTTGCATAGTGAAATCTCAGATCCTTATTCATGAGAATAAGATTATTTTAGACTGGTATAATTTCACAAGTACTGTTCACTGGACTTTTCAAACAGAACAATGTATATAGCTATGATATGGAGTAACATTTTAATACACAAATAAATAGGTTTTTAAGAAATAAATTCAATTTATTATATCATTGTAATGTAATAATTACTTTATATGCATAAATCTCTTTATTTCTCATTTGTAATATAAACAAGAATTTGGTCAGGATGCTTTGGTTGTAGTAACAGAAACAAAACTCTAATTCATGCAAAAAGGAGAATTTATTATAAAATTACAAGGGTACCTTAACAAAGCCAAGAACAACAGCTAAAGCCAGGCCTCAGGGATGGTGGCCAGTAATAGAAATTAAATCTTGCTAGCTTAAGCAAAAAAGGGAGTTTATAATTAGGATATAAGAATATCTTACCAAGTCAAGGGAAGGGATTATAGCCATGCTTCCTGAAGAGCTAGAGCAAAGGAATGAAACACTATTAGAAAGCCAGGAGTCACACTCTCCAAGGTCTCATGTCCAGTTTTCACTTTGCAAATGCTTCATTGCTCTCTCACTGCACATTTGCTGTTTTTACTTTCTAAGCCACATGATGGGACGTGGCAATCCATACATCCCAGTTTATATTTCTTCTATTCCAGAGACTAGTCAGAGCAAGGCTAGAATCTCTTGTCACCAGCTCCAAATTTCTAGGTAAGTTTTAGGACCTCACCAAAAGTAGAGCTAACTTCCTTCTATGGAATAGGCAGTAAGATGGAAGTTTCAGGACACCAAGAGACAAGAGGCAATTAAAATTTTTGTTTTTACTGTTCCTTACAGAGCTTGTACTGAAATAGCTTACTTAGATTTAGAGGTGGATGGAGATAGATGTGTCCAGAACTCATAGCACACTGTGTGGAAATGACCAGTTTCAAAAGAGATAAATATTCTAACTCCTTTTAATATTTCCCTTGGGACAGAAATAATAGACTTGGATAATGCTATTATCTTGAGACAAGTTTCTCTGCATTTGTCGTAATAGGTATGATTTATCTCCTGGGAAAGTATGGAAAGGTCTAATATGAGTAAGTTAAGCACAAAAAGTAATATTATACTTTGTTAATTAATAATTTTTCCCAAGAGAAAGAAAAAAAGGGGTTAATAACATGGAGAATGTTTAAGAAAAAGGAAAAAAGAAAAGACTAATTACACGGTGGGTGTCAGAAATCCCTAACAACCATAAATAGAAATCTGACCAAAGATATCTCAGATTAGAGAGAAACTGATTCTTCTAGCTTGAGTCAAGTACCTATAAACTATCTTCATTATAGTAGGGTGAGAGCTAGGGTACCATTCTGAGAAACTGAGATAGGAAAGGGGAATGAAAATTATTTTCTGTATTCTTTACAGTGTTTTTACAGTGTGTCAGGCTCTCTTGCAGGAGGAAAATTATATTGCTTACCAAAAGCATAACATAATAATATTTGAGTGTTAGATGATTTATGTATTTTAAATTTAGAAGAGCTGATAGAGGTATTCCACCCAGCCCTGCCCACATTGAAATAAAACTGAAAACATCAAAAGTATAAGGAAATGCTACAGATGTTTTATTCAAAAATATATTATTTTGGGCTGAAGATTTCTTAAATTATTTTTCCTGTATGTTGACATACATTCCTATTATTTATTATGTCTTTTGATGAGATACAAAGAGTTAAGCTTATGTTCATGATATCATTCTAGTTCTTCTTGCAATTTTGTTTCTAGCAATAACCAACAAGGGAAGTAGGACCCTTCTATGGTAAAGAACAATAAAAGCAATATTAGCATGGACATGTTAAGAGACTCAGAAGCTAGTAATTCAGTTTTATCTTTACCTGATTTCAGTGAATACAAAATTTCAAAAGAAAAAAGTCATTCAATATTAGGTTGAAGGTTTTGTATTTTAACCTCTGTGTTTCTTCATGAACATGTTTCCTTAATGCTGCCATCTTTTTGATCATCATTTGGTGTCATATTCCGTACATTTTGAGCAGATTGATCTAATGAAATGGTTGACAGGTATGAAAATACTTTTTCCATTAGTGGTTCCGTGAGAAAAGGTGTTGGAGTGTTCTTTTTCACTAAAGAATCATCAGAAAACCAGTCATCAGCTGCTTCTATACTTTGGCTGCAACAAGAATCAGATGGCAATGTTGATAAGCTTAATGTGGCACTGCTGCAATTTGTTGCTGAGCTAGTCTCTGATGGGTCCTGGTCACGAGTGACCTTTTGTGTTGCAAGGCAGAGTTCATGTTTAGAGGGCTTTTTAATTGCTGTAAAAACAAGCAGATTTACTTGATTTACTATGAATATTACAGATTCATAAGCCAAATCTTAATTATAAGGACAGTGTTATAATGGGCAGGATAACGCTCTAAAGAAAAACCTGAGTTGCTATCATTATCCATGCAATGTTACTTGTAATTAGGAATTAGCAATATTTTCATAATACTCAAGAGTAGAAAAGTTTATTCTAAATAAAACCAACCGTTTTAATAAGAAAACATTCTAACTAGGCTAGAAATCTCAGTTCTGAAATGTTGCTTAAAATCAGAAAAGGCATATAGTTTCTTAACTATTTATAGCTAAATATTTCCTTATTTTAAAAATCAGCTAAAAAAACACATGCCTCCTTGAGCAGGCAGATTACAAAATATTTGGTCTGCATTGGGAAAGGCCTATGCATTGGCTCTATACTACTAATAATAACAAACATTCCTATAGAGCCTTACAATTTACAGAGCTATACAATTTACAAAGATATACTTCTATATCTTATTTACACTCTCAACAATTCTTTAAGGTAGCTAGTATTAGCACCACTTCACAAAAGAAGAAACAGATTTAGAGAAATTACTCATCACAGATCAGATACAAAATGAATTTCAGCCTACATTGTTATTACTCTAAGTCTCATGTTTTTCCCATTATATTACTTAGTCTTCATATTGGCATTAAAAAATGTCAAGTTTTAGAAAATATCACATTTATATAATATCCTAAAGTATGTTCTATAATATTTTACATATTAACTTTTAATATTTTCCACACTAATTTTTAAAGCTGTTTTGAATACCTTATTATGTTTTATATTCAGGATCTTTAAAATTATGTAGGAGGTAATGTTTTGAGGTACAAAGACATGTCTTTTGACCCTGAGGCATTACTATATGGCATTGACTATGACACTTTGGGGTACACATAAGACATAAAAATTAAAATTTCACATTTTAAGATATGACATTGCAAGTTTTCTTTTTCTAAAAAGCAGATGCCCATTCACATACTAATAAATTAATGTTTCCTTTAAATTTTCGTAGCATTTAAAAATACTTAGATAACATTTAGGATAGCCTCTTGATTCCTTAGGATATGAATTGCTAAAGTTGATTAAGATTTCTTCTAATAAATTGTTGAGAAAAAGTACCTTTTATACGTGATGCTTCCTGTTTTCTTTTCTCCTCCTACATAAAAAAGTTATTTGTATTTAAAAAACTGAATAGCTTTTATATAACATTTGATATACTTAATTTATATACTTATATGAGAGTAATAAATTTGAACATTATAACTTTTGATAGGAAACGTTTATTTCTACAATATGAATTTCTTTCACCAAAATATATTGACAGAAAAAGAAAAATGTTGAGGTATCATCTGAAGCTAATTTGGATTGGCCCAGGAAGGCAGTCTCCAGGAACTATAGTTCAAACAAGATGACTTCTCTCCATCCTCACTAACTTAAGAGTCACTTAGTTAGAACTAGAGAGGGCTAACAAATAATTAGAATTCCTAGACTTAATTAATTAACTAAACAAAAATAACAAAAAAGTGAATTCTGGCTGAAGCCATTTATAAAAGTGGGAATATTCTTTTAAAGCAATTCAAACATTGCTTTAACAATACATTCCAGATGGGTTCTGGGAAGTGTAGTAGGATAGTAGTTCTCAAACTTTAGGGCATTAGAATCACCTAGTGCGCTGGTTAAAATTCTGATTCTTGAGCATAATATCAGACCTTACCAAAACAGATTCCCTGGGAGGGCTTGAAAGTATGCATTGTAACATACCCTGCAAGTGAGTCTAACTCTGGTTTTCCTTAGTCCACTAAAGAAACAATGGGCTAGTGTACAGGGTGTTTGGGATGGAGTAGGATAAGATGAAGCTGGAGAAATAATAACATTATCTCTTGTGTTCTAGGGGAAAAGGTGTTAATGCTCTGTGCTGATCTGCATTGTCCTGTCTCCCAAAAAGGCTTACTTAGAACACATATAATGCATTCTAACACGTAAACACTTTTCTTAAAACCAACTTTGATTCTTTGTCATTTTCACCTTTTATTAAGAAATGCCAGTATGGATGGGCTTCTGAACTTACCTTGCCTGGAATTGGGACCAATTCATTTTGTGACTCTTGTATAAATTACATTATAATATTGCTTCTCAGACTTTACTGCACTGAGAAATTATCCTGGGAGCTTATTAAAATGCAGATTCTGACTCAGTAGGTCTGAGGTGGGGTCTAAAATTCTACATTTCTATAAGACTCACCCAGGTAATGCTGATATTGCTGGTCTGGGAACCAAAGAATAAGTTGCCCAAAATTCTATCCAAACTAAGGGGATGACAAAACAGGCATTCTTACATACTGCTACATGTACGTAGGTAGAATTTTTTGGAGTGAAATTTAATAAACCCACTTCTAGAAATTTCTTATGCCAACAAAATCATTTTGTTTTGTGTAAATATTAAGTTACCAGATGTCCATCCAACATTATTTAGCATTTTTAATTTTTTAAATTTTTTATATTTTTATTTCTCTTTTTACAAAACATGGAGGAAGAAATGTTTAGCATTTTTTTAAAACCTGCGATTTAAAATTCCAAGTGTAAGGAAATTGTTAAATGAATTATGATACATAGATAGTAATTTGATGAATATTCTTTTAACTATTACAAATGATTCTATATATAAGTAAGTAAGGAGGAACTCAAAAAATGGTGGGAACATATCAAAAAGATAGAGACACAATCTTGAAGAGGTACCTACTAATTAAATTTGGGAAAATTTGAACATCAAAATAATGATACTAATGGATTATGATCTACTGAATAAAATAGTAATCCATGAGTCCATAGTGACAATAAACAAATAAAATCAGGGAGAAGGGACAGCTACTCCCTTATATTCATAGAAAGCCAAATGACAATCGTGGATAGGAGTGGTAGAGTTGGAAAATCATCATTTTACTACAGTTTAGTAAAGATGGACTCAGAATAATTTCTATAGCTAGAAAGTAAATTTGATAAGGAGAAGGATATTTGCATGGTTTCAAAGTGTCTCCACACAGATTGCTTATTAATTGCAAGTGTAAAAATAGGAATAATATAGTGGGGCAAAAACAGACATTATCTTGATTATGCCATCAAACTAAAATTTCTAATTAAGGACAGACAAAAATTGTATGCCTTCAAATGTGATAAACTAGGTGGGGCATGGTGGCTCACACCTATAATCCTAGTACTTGGGAGGCTGAGGCAGGTGGGAGGGCTGCTTGAGGCCAGGAGTTCAAGATCAGCCTGAGCAACATATTGAGACCCTGTCTCAAAAACAACAAAAAATTAGCCTGGCATGGTGGCTCAGGCCTATAGTCCCAGTTACTTGGGAGACTGAGGCAGGAGGATTGCTTGAGCCCAAGAGTTTGAGGTTGCTGTGAGTTATGATAGTGCCAATGCACTCTAGCCTGGGTGACAGCAAGACCCTGTTTTGAAAAAAAAAAAAAAAGTGGTAAACTGAATCTGATCACACAGAAAACTCAAACTAAGAATAACCTACTATTTATAAAATGACTTATTTGTATTCTTCAAAATTGTCAATCTCATGAAAGACAAAGACAGGCTAAAGAACTGTTCTGATTAAAGAAGACTGAAGAGACGTGACAATTAAATGCAAATGTGATTCTGGACTGGATCTTGTACTAGAGGAAAATTCTATAAAGGACATTATTGGGGAAATAGGCAAAAATGGAACATGGATTGTAGATTATACAAAAATATTGAATCAATATTAAATTTCCTGAATTTGAAAACCATATTCTAGTAATATAAGAGAATATCTCATTTTTAGGATTTACAGTGAAGTGTTAAGGAGTAAGAGAAAATAATGCACAACCTACTCTTAAATGGTTCAGCAAAAATAAGTATAAACACATATACACATATGACATAGTTCATAACTCCCACCTTTTAAACACTTTCTTCACTAGCCTTTTGGGATACCTCTTGGTTCTCTTTCTACCACACTGGCTAATGCTAAACTTTTTTTTTTATCCTTTTTAATTATTAGCAATAAAGACATTCCTCACTTGCAATGTGGTATTTAGAGAGAAAAGCTTGAAAAAAAAGATTGAAATCTTATTTAGGTTATCTTCTTGCCTCAGCCTTCCAAGTACTAAGTAGCTGGGAATAAAGGTGGGCACCACCACACCTGGCTGATGTTACTTTTGTTTTTGTTTTTGTAGTGACAAGGTCTCACTATGTTTCCAGGTTAGTCTTGAACTCCTGGCCTCAAGCAATCCTTCCACTTTGGCCTCTCAAAGTGCTGGCATTACAGGCATGAGCCACCATGCCTAGCCTGAGATCTCATTGTTTAGCTTACCTTTCAAAAACAAAGAATGAAAATAATAAAAATCAGCCAAGTGAATTTTTTAAACTCAAAATATTAGAATTCTAAATATCTGATTCTGTTGCTGCAACACAGAGTTAAAATTCAGCATACATTTTTTACTTTGCATATGTTTAAAGATTTGTATAATAAAAAAAAATAATAAAATGAACCTCACATACCCTTCTACCTTCAACAATTACCAACACTCTGATATTCTTGTTTTATCTATATTTCTACTCTATCATTATTTTTAAGAGTTTTTTTGGCTGGGCGCAGTGGCTCACGCCTGTAATCCTAGCACTCTGGGAGGCTGAGGTGGGTGGATTGCTCGAGGTTAGGAGTTCGAAACCAGCCTGAGCAAGAGCAAGACCCCGTCTCTACAAGAAATAGAAAGAAATTAATTGGCCAACTAATATATATAGAAAAAATTAGCCGGGCATGGTGGTACATGCCTGTAGTCCCAGCTACTCGGGAGGCTGAGGCAGAAGGATTGCTTGAGCCCAGGAGTTTGAGGTTGCTGTGAGCTAGGCTGATGCCACGGCACTCACTCTAGCCTGGGCAACAAAGTGAGACTCTGTCTCAAAAAAAAAAAAAAAAAAAAAAAAAAAAAAAAAAGAGTGTTTTTTATAAGATGTTGACTTTTATTTTATTTTTTTCCTTTTTAAAAAATTGTTTTATAAATGTCAAGTGCAAAATTGGCTACTTCATTTAAGCTGGTAGGTTTCATTCATTTATAATTTTTTTTCCAGCATATTGTGGGGGTACAAATGTTAAGGTTACATATATTGCCCTTCCCACCCCCCCACCCCCAACCCCCTGCTAATGCTAAACTTTTAAAGTTTGGAATACCTCCAGGGCTAATTATAAGTACTTGTTCTTCTTTTCCTAATATCAGTGTACACATCTGTTGAACATAGCAAAACTTCAGTGGCGTTCTTCCCATTTTTCTTAGATGAAAAATTATTTTCTTTACTTATATTTGTTTTTATCACATCCCTTACTTCTCCCTACTGAGATGCATTAAGTTACTTTTGGGCAATGGTCAATAATCCCTTTGAATTGGATGGAGCTACCTATCCAAAGTCTGAGCTGAGGAAAATAATGCAAATAAAAGCAGAAATCATTTAAAAAGAAAACCACAAGCAACAAAGAAAATCAATAAAACAAAAATATGGTTCCTTAAAACTCTAGCCAGAATGATTCGGTAGAAAAAGAGAGAAAACACAAATTAACAGTATCAAGAGTGAGAGAGAGGCCGGGCGCGGTGGCTCACGCCTGTAATCCTAGCTCTTGGGAGGCCAAGGCGGGCGGATTGCTCAAGGTCAGGAGTTCAAAACCAGCCTGAGCAAGAGCGAGACCCCGTCTCTACTATAAATAGAAAGAAATTAATTGGCCAACTAATATATATAGAAAAAATTAGCCGGGCATGGTGGTACATGCCTGTAGTCCCAGCTACTCGGGAGGCTGAGGCAGAAGGATTGCTTGAGCCCAGGAGTTTGAGGTTGCTGTGAGCTAGGCTGACGCCACGGCACTCACTCTAGCCTGGGCAACAAAGCAAGAGACTCTGTCTCAAAAAAAAAAAAGAGTGAGAGAGAAGGCAGGGCGTGGTAGCTCACGCCTTTAGTCCTAGCTCTCTGGTAGGCTGAGGCGGGAGGATTGCTTGAGATCAGGAGTTCTAGACCAGCCTAAGCAAGTGTGAGACCCCATCTCTCCTAAAAATAGAAAAAATTAGCTGGGTGTGGTGGTGCTCACCTGTAGTCCCAGCTACTCGGGAGGCTGAGGAAAGAAGATTGCTTGAACCTAGAAGTTTGAGGTTGCTGTGAGCTAGGTTGATGCCATGGCACTCTAGCCTAGCAACAAGGTGAGACTCCATCTCGCTTTTTTCTTCATGCCAGTTTGAATGGGGTTCCTATCAGTGACTATCAAGAATCCTAAATAACAGCCTTAAAAAGGAAGGACATCCTGTCATTTGTGACAGGATTGATGAACCTGGAGGACATTACGCTAAGTGAAATAAGCCAGGCACAGAAAGACAAATACCATATGATTTCACTCATTGGACTCTACAAGAGCTGAACTAATAGAAGCAGAGAGTAGAATGGTGGTTACCAGGAGCTGGGAGTAGCAGGGTGAGTGGGGAGATGTTGGTCAAAGGATACAAAACTTTAGTTAGGAAGAATACATTCAAGAAATCTATTGTACAACATAGTGACAATTAATAACAATGTATAGTGGTGTTGAATATCACTAAGAGTAGATTTTTTTTTTTCAATATTGAAACCTTAAAATCTGTACTAAGAGTAGATTTTAAGTGTTCTCATCACAAAGAAATGATAAGTACATGAGGTAATGCATATGTTAGTTCAATTTAGCAATTCCACAAGGCATACATATTCAAAACATCATATTGTACACGACAAATATATACACTTTTTGTCAATTTTAAAAATAATTGAAAAAAGAATCTTGAATAATATTTCATATTTACTTATACATTGCTTATCTCCCCCACTACACTATAAATTTCATAGAAGTATGGACTGTTATCTCCCTTGTTCACCACCAAATTCCCAATTGCCTAGAACAATGCCTGCCAAATAAGTACTTGCTACATATTTGTTGAATAAATAATACCCTAATTAAACTGCACTCATGACACCTTTATAATTGTCTATTTGTGTATATATATATCATCAAATACGATGGCATTTATTGTTTCATTAGTATCCAGTGAAATGCCTAGCATGTGATGGGTGCTTAATAAATTAAATTAATATTAAATGAATAGAAACAATTTTTTCTCTGCAACCTCTATTACAAACTATCTTAGTGGTTAAGTTTCAGGGGGAACAAAAATAAAAATAAAAAAATAAAATAATAAATAAACAATAATAAAAAAAAGAACAAACTATCCTTCATTTGAAAGTCACAGCTAATAACCTTCAGAATTAATTTGATCTTTATATCCACCTGCTTAAAACCTTCCAGTAGTAATAATAAGCTTGTATGGTGCTCACTATATGAGCAGGCACTATTTTGAATGCTTTTTCACATAATTCATTTAATCTCACACCAACTCTCTGGAGGTGAAATTATCATCATTTTGCAGATGAGGAAACTGAGACACAGAGAAGTTTGGTAACTTGCCTAAGATTACATAGCTAGTTGTGGTAGGGCCAGAATTCAAACCTGTGTGATCCGACTCTATAGATCTTGCTCTTGACCATATTCCTATGATGCCCTGGGATAAAGTCCAAAATCCTTAGGGTGCAAATGAGGCTCATTACAATCTCATCTCCAGGGGCTTTTTCTACCACTCTCTTTCTTCAATGAATCATAGGCTTCGAACATTATAACAATTGTACTGAATTTATTGCTTCCTTTTACAGCTATAAGCCTTTGAACATAAGATGTCCTCTGTTCTGTTTACTCCTAACAAATTTCTATTCATTTCTCAAAACCTGGTTCTAGGCCGGGTGCGGTGGCTCACGCCTGTAATCCTAGCACTCCGGGAGACCGAGGCGGGCAGATTGCTCGAGGTCAGGAGTTCGAAACCAGCCTGAGCAAGAGCAAGACCCCGTCTCTACTATAAATAGAAAGAAATTAATTGACCAACTAATATATATAGAAAAAATTAGCCGGGTATGGTGGCGAATGCCTGTAGTCCCAGCTACTAGGGAGGCTGAGGCAGGAGGATTGCTTGAGCCCAGGAGTTTGAGGTTGCTGTGAGCTAGGCTGACGCCACGGCACTCACTCTAGCCTGGGCAACAAAGTGAGACCCTGTCTCAAAAAACAAAAAACAAAAAACAAAAAACAAAAAACCTGGTTCTGAATGTCTTCTCTGTGAAGCCCTCCTCCACGCAGGCTCCCTCATCTCTACTACTTCAACTTTGTGAGCTCTTATTATATTACGGTGTAATTACTAGATTATATATTTTTCCTTCTCTACTGGCCTTGGGCTCATTTAGAGCTCAGCTCAGATATTATTTGTTTATACAGCCTCAGTGGCAAAACTAGTGCTGCCATATGTAAGACGCTTAACAAATATTAAACAAATAGACGAACGCTGAGTTCAACTTGAGTTCAATACTCAAGATTTATAATGAAACTTTGCCAACCTATCAGTTTGTCACTCACTATTTATCTACTAATGCTGTAAGAGCACTATTTCTTTTGCTTAGGTATTATCTTAGTTTTAAATTTCTATTGGTCTCTGCCTTGTTTTACTTTATTCATAAAATACTGTTTTGACATTTACTACATTATCCAAAGTTTCTGCCTTTCTTACTTGTTCTGTGTAAGCACCTTGGAGGTAAAGGCCATGTCTTACTATCCCCAACAGGGGGGACCCAGAGCTTGGAATATAATAAAGGCTTATTACATTCTTATCAAAGTGAATATAATTTCAATTAGTTGGTATGGTTAGGTTATCTGAGTATCTATCTCCAAATCTTCTTCCTTTGACAGGCCTGGTAATTTTGTTGTCAGTCTTTTTATGCCATTTATCCTCCCTGTGGCAATGTCCATATGTGGAATGTAGTTTCTTGGGCTAGAGATACAGAGAAGCAACTGTAGAAGGAGATACATTTTCATTTAGTTTTTCAGTTTTCCTACTTTATAAACGCTAAATAGTTTGGACAATTTAAACTTGGCTCCATACTATTGTACCTGAAATTAAAAAGTAACAGATTATCTGTCCTTCAAATGTTAAGACAGCAATGCTAATGCATGGTATCAAAAGAAATTATTTAAAAAGATTGTTATAAAATATTACACTCTACCTGTAGTTGAAATGCTCCAGTATGAAAATTTCGAGAAATAAAAACACATGGAGGATGAGATTTAATCTTCACCTCTGATGGTCTTTCCCTGCATCTCTCATCAGCTACAGCTATAGTAACTTGGGAATTTTGAAACAATTCTCTGAAAAATATATTGTACAGAATATTGTTAAACATGAATTAGATTATTAACCAATTAAAATTATTGTTTCTAGCATTTATACACAAAGGTTTCAGAATTAAAATAAATACATTACAGTATCTCTCTCTCTCTCTCTCTCTCTCTCTCTATATATATATATATATATATATATATATATATATATATTTGGAGACAGGGTCTCACTTGGTCATCTAGGCTGAATGCTGTGACCCAGTCATAACTCACTGCAGCCTCAAATTCCCAGGCTCAACGATTTTCCTGCCTCAGGCTCCCGAGTAGCTGGGACTACAGGCATGTGCCACCATGCCCAGCTAATTTTTAAATTTTTGTAGAGACAGATTCTCACTATGTTGCCTAGGCTAGTCTCAAATTCCTGGCCTCAGCAATCCTCCTGCCTCAGCCTCCCAAAGTGCTGAAATTACAGGTGTGAGCCACCATAGCCTGCCAGCATATTCATTTTTAAAAGCATAAATCGATCATGTCTAACCTATACTCAAAAAAAAAGCATAAATCGACTTATCTACTCCCTTCTCATATGTTAGATTTCATTATGCCTATTTTATTCACAGAATGTAAATTAAGCTGCTTATTTTATTCATAAAATGTAAAATAAGCTACTTGTATAGGGTTAGTATTTTCAGTTTGAATATTAAGCAGGAGTCTCTGATATACTTTTTGCTTGTGAGAAAATTAATCAACTTTAATGTTAATTAGCCTTTTCATAAATTTGTCTTTAATAGTAAAGGAAATTAAATAAAATGCAACTCATTGGTCAATTTTGGTACTTAATAATATCCCTCTGGCTAAAAGTAAGACTTGAAACTAATGACTTAAACTGGAAGAGTACCTGTGATTTTTTCTTGTCCATGCAACCACAAACAAATGAGAGGTTAAAAATAATAAAGCCCCAGTAAAACCTCAGCTGATCTAAGACACACAGTCATGTATAAGGGAATATAGTTTCCAATAGTCATTCTTAACGATTTTAAAAATAATGCCTCCAGATGATAGAATATTATTCAGCATTAAAAAGATATGAGCTATAAAGCCACGAAAAGGACCAGGCGCTGTGGCTCACGCCTGTAATCCTACCACTCTGGGAGGCCGAGGCGGGCGGATCGCTCAAGGTCAGGAGTTCCAAACCAGCCTGAGCAAGCGTGAGACCCCGTCTCTACTAAAATAGAAAGAAATTAATTGGCCAACTAAAAATATATAGAAAAAATTAGCTGGGCATGGTGGCGCATGCCTGTAGTCTCAGCTACTCAGGAGGCTGAGGAAGGAGGATCGCTTGAGCCCAGGAGTTTGAGGTTGCTGTAAGCTAGGCTGATGCCACTGGCACTCTAGCCCAGGCAACACAGTGAGACTCTGTCTCAAAAAAAGAAATAAAATAAAAAATAAAACCATGAAAAGACATGAAGGAAACTTAAGTGTATATTACTAAGTGAAAGAAGCCAATCTTAAAAGGATACATATTGTATGATTACAACTATATGATATTCTGGAAAAGGCAAAACTATGGAGACAGTAAAAAGGTCAATGGTTGCCAGGGGTTAGGGAGGGATGTACAGATGGAACACAGAGGATTTTTAGGGCAGTGAAAATACTCTGTACGATACTATAATGGTAGATATATGTCATTATACATTTGTCCAAACCCATAGAATGTATAACACCAAGAGTGAACCCTAATGTAAATTATAAACTATGACAAATCAATGTAGATTCATCAGTTGTAAATTTCCCTCTAATAATAAGAATGTTGATTGCCATTTTTTCTTTCAGAGGTACTAGAAAATTTCCAAATTAATTTGAGAGATCCTATAATGTTACTTGATGAGGTTGTTTTTTGTTTGTGAGTCAGAGTCTCACTCTATTGCCCTGGTTAGAGTGCCATGGCATCAGCCTAGCTCACAGCAACCTCGAACTCCTGGGCTCAAGCGATCCTCCTGCCTCAGCCTCCCAAGTAGCTGGGATTACAGGCATGCACCACCATGCCCGGCTAATTTTTTCTATATATTTTTTAGTTGGGCAATTAATTTCTTTCTATTTTTAGTAGAGATGGGATCTTACTTTTACTCAGGCTGGTTGAGCAATCCACCTTGAGTGATCCACCTGCCTCGGCCTCCCAGAGTGCTAGGATTACAGTCGTGAGCCACTGTGCCTGGCCTTGATGAGGTATTAACAATAAGGATTCCCTCATTCACTGAATTCGATTTTCTTAACAAATATTTATTGAGTGCTGAATATGTGCCAGGCATTATGCTAGGTGTTGTATATACAGGAGAAGGGGGAAAAAAGCACAACCGTTACCCTCATAGAACTGTCATTGCTCCCATGAAGCTTAAACATTGTTAAAGTAGACAGATATTAATAGTCACAAAAATAAAAAATTACAACTGTGGAAAATGCTATTGAGGAACGCTATCTGGTACTATGTGAGTATGTAACAAAGGGAATTAACCTGGTTAGAGAGGTCAGGCAAGGCTTTCTTGAGGAAGGGATGATTTAACTGGGCATCTGAAGAAAAGTAGTAGTTTTTAGGTAGAATGTGGTGGAAAAGAAAGATGTGAAAGTAAGACTACAGCAGGCAGAGAGAATATCAAATACAAAGACCTAATGGTCAGAATAGGACAGTGTAGCAGAAACACAGAAAGCAAGAGGGAGAGCAGTAGATGAAACTGGGGAGTATGCACAAATAGATCATGAAGGCCCTTACAAATTTTGTCTTTATCCTAAAAGCAATAAGATGTCCTTTAAATTATAGTGGGTGTGGGGTAGAAGAATAGGGATCAGATTTGCATTTGGAAAGTGTCTGGTTGAAGTGTGGAGAAAAGATTAAAGGAGGACAACAGTGAAGGTAAGGAGTCATTTATAACTCCGATTGTAGTAGTCTATGTGGGGCATAATGATAACTTGGATAGGGTAGCGGCAGTGGTAATGAGAGAAATGAATAGATTAGAGTGATTTATGAGGTAAAATAAATAGAAATTGGTGATAGTTCAAATTTACTGGGGGTGGAAAGCATGTTTGATAAGCATGTTTTTCATTTTTAGAAAGAAACAAAAAACTTTCTTTGATCCCACATTTTCCTCCATTTACTGCTCCATTTATCAGCACCTCCTCATTAAAAAAAAATCTTGAAAGAGATAACTAGACTTGTCTCAATTTTCTCACTTCTCGTGTTCTATTCAAAGGTGGGCTTCTGAACTCCATCATACCACCAAAACTATTCATCAAGGTCACCAATGACATCTATGTTGCCAAACCCAAACTCTGTCTTCATCTTTTTCAACTTAAGTACTTTCAACACAGCTGCCACCGCCTTCTTCTTGAAATATTTTAAAAATTTTGACCTCCTTGATAGGACACCTTTCTGCTTTTCTTTCTTCTCAGACATTGATTCTTCCCACTCTTCTGCTAGATTTCAAAATATTGGCGACAGGTGTAGGACCTATTCTTTTTCAACACTGACTCCTTGGTTAGTCTCATCCAATTCTTTGACTTGATTCTCTCTGTATATCAGAGCTTCAGCCCTGAATCCTCTCCTGAAGTTTATACATTATGTCCAATGGCCTATTTGACTTTTCCACTTGGATGTCTAACAGGCTTTCAAATTTACATGCAAAACACAACTCCTAGTTTATCACCACTCCCCAAAGTTTCTGCCTGCTTTAATCATCTCTTCATCTCAGTGAATGGCTCAGCTTAACTGAGTTGAGAATGTTAGCTTTTCAGCTGCTTATAGTGAAGATCTAAGTGTCAGCATTAACTCTGCCATTTTCATCCAATCTGTTAACAAGCCCTGCTGACTTTACATGCAAAGCATATCGCAGATCCAACCTCTTCTTTTCATCTCCTCTACTTCCATGTTAGTTCAAGACACTATAGGCTCTCACCTGGACTATGCAATAGCCTTCTAACTTGTCTCTCCTTTCACTCTTACTCCATTAAAATCCAGGCTTCACAGAGAAGTAAGAAATATCTTTCAAAAAAGGTAAATCAGAACTCTCATATATGCCTGGTGGGAATGTACACCCATTTTGGAAAACTGGCAGTTTCTTATAAAGTTAGTCATATGATCTAACAATTCTAAAGTATTTACTTAGAAGTGAAAACATATATACAAAAAGATTCATATAAGAATGTTCATGGCAGCCATTTCCCTAAGAGCTAAAAACTAGAAGTGACCACAATCTCCATTAACAAAATAATGGATAAACAAATCAGGGTATAGTCATACAATGGAATACTACTCATCCATAAAAACAATGAACTATGGATAAATGCAATATAAATGAATCTCTAAAATGTTATGTTGAGTGAAAAAAAGCAGATATATGAGAGTCCATATGGTTCCATCTATATGAAGTTCGGGAATAGACAAAATGAATCCATGATGATGGAGATCAGAATAATGCTTGCCTTTGAGGTAGGAGGTAGGGAATGATGCCTAGAACATGAGGGAACTTTCTATGGTAATGAAAAAATTCTATATCTTTCTTTTTAAATTTTTCTTTTTTTCCTCCTCCCTCCCCAAGTTCTATATCTTGACTGGGGTGGTGGTTACATAGGTATTTGTTGAACTTCATCATTGTACATTTAAAATCTATGTGGTTTGGCCGGGCGCGGTGGCTCACGCCTGTAATCCTAGCTCTCTGGGAGGCCGAGGCGGGCGGATTGCTCAAGGTCGGGAGTTCGAAACCAGCCTGAGCAAGAGCGAGACCCCGTCTCTACTATAAATAGAAAGAAACTAATTGGCCAACTAATACATATAGAAAAAATTAGCCGGGCATGGTGGCTCATGCCTGTAGTCCCAGCTACTTGGGAGGCTGAGACAGAAGGATCACTTGAGCCCAGGAGTTTGAGGTTGCTGTGAGCGAGGCTGACGCCACGGCACTCACTCTAGCCTAGGCAACAAAGCGAGACTCTGTCTCAAAAAAAAAAAAAAAAAAAAATCTATGTGGTTTATTGTATGTAAATTATGCCTCAATTTTTAAAAAGCAGTATTAAAATGTAAATCAGTTATGGGAGACAGTATAGAGTCTTTAAAATGGGTATAAAATGGGGATAATATTAATTCTACACCATGGGGCTAAGTCTTAATGAGATAACATATGAAGCACTTAGAATAAATGCCTAGCATGTCATAAGCATTCAGTGTTAGCTATTATAATGATAAGGTCATTCTTCTGTTTAAAACCTTCCAGTGGCACAAATAAAATCTAAACTCCCTAAAATTCCTATGTGATCTGGTCCTTACCTGCCGCTTCAATCTCATAATTATTTTCTTCTCTCACTATGGGTAAGAGGCCTTCACATTGGCCTTCTCTCTGTTTGCTGAATAATGCCAAGATCATTCCCGCCTTGGGGGCTTTGTACTTGCTATGCTTTCAGTTCAGAAAGTTCTTGCACAAAGTCTTCATATGTTTGGCTGCTTCTTTTAATTCAGGTTTTAGATTTCATACAACCTATTTGTATAGGCATATCCTGACCACTTTATCTATTTTGTTCATTATCTACCCCCTGCCAGTGACAATGCAAATCTATGAAAAAGAAACCTTGATTTGTTCACAGTTGTATCCTCAATACCTAGAACAATGGCAAGCACCAAATAGATAAATAAATAAATAAACAAATTCATTGGAAGAACAAATAAGTGATAAGTTTCTGACTTGTGCACATGGATGGGTAATATGTATTAATTTCCTGGGTAGGGAACAACTAGAAGACTGTATGAGAAGATTATGTTACAATTTACATTTTTTAAAACATCAGATAATGCAAATGCTGAACTGATTAAACAATTAGAAACACAAAATGTTATGGTCGAAAGGAACTAAAGTGTCAAATAATCTTTTTTTCTGTTTCTGGCAAGAGACTACTTTTAGTCCATTTTAGTCCATACTAGGACATTCTGTCAGCTCTTTTCTTAAATATCTACTAAAGAAAGAGTGTGTTTCCCTCTCAGTTTTTTTTTTTTAAGAGGCAGGTTCTTGCTCTGTTGCCCAGGCTGGATTGCAGTGGTGTTATCATAGCTCACCGTAACCTTGAACTGGTGGGCTCAAGTGATTCTCCTGCCTCAACCTTTGGAGCAGCTGTGAAGTTGAAACTACAGGCACGCACTGCGCCAAGCCAGCTAATTAAAAAAGTTTTTTAGAGATGAGGTCTCACATGTTGCCCAGGCTGGTCTCACTCAAGGCAGTGATCCAACTGCCTTGACCTCCCAAAATGCTGGGATTATAGGCATGAGCTACTGCACCTGGTCCTCTCTCAATAATGTTTTTAACCTATGAATTGGGATTACAATTTTTAAAAAATTTCTAGCCTTACATTATAATCAGACCCATGTCTTTGAGAAATAAAATAGGTCTTATTATTCCTCAAAATCTTATTGCAGGCTGGGCATGGTGGCTCATGCCTATAATCCTAGCACTCTGGGAGGCCAAGGCGGGAGGACAGCTCGAGGTCAGGAGTTCGAAACCCGCCTGAGCAAGAGTGAGATCCCATCTCTACTAAAAGAATAGAAAGAAATTAGCTGGACAACTCAAAAAAAAAATAAATATATATATATAACAATTAGCCGGGCATGGTGGCATATGCCTGTAGTTCCAGCTACTCAGGAGGGTAAGGCAGAAGGATTGCTTGAGCCCAGGAGTTTGAGGTTGCTGTGAGCTACACTTATGCCACAGCACTCTAGCCTAGGCAACAGAGTGAGACTTTGTCTCAAAAAAAGGAAAAAAAAAATCTTAATGCATGAAGATTGCTTTTACTAGTACTTTTCTTTTCAGGATATTTAAAACACGTAAAGCTTCCCTCACCTCAACCAAAGGGTCTATAACCAAACCCCAAATTACAGAGTCAATACTATTATAGTTATTTAATACCATTTGAAAAAGTGCTTCATTGAATTTTTAAAATTAAAAAAGTTAAACAAGTATTCTAATAAGCCTTACCTTCGTTTGCAAATCAGGAACCACAAAGCAGATGCCAAAGCAAAGAAACCAATTCCCAAAGTGAAAGCACCAGCAGCCAGAAAATAGGTTAAGTGGTTAAAAAAACCTATACAAATAAATTATAAAAGATTATTTCATGCATGTATCTTCATTCTCTAGGTAAAATTAAATGATATAATATTTCAAATGATATAAATAGTATAGTGTTAAGACATTAACTAGGAGATTCAGAGACCTGAATTCTAGTCCCATGCAATTCTAATAAACTTCAAGACCCTGAGTTAGTGAATTATAAAGGGCCTTCTGCTGATTAGAGCCTAGGGCACTGTTTTTAAAAAAAATTTTTTTTTGATGAGGCCAGGATTTGAAACCCAGGTTTTGTTTGTTTTTGTATAGTTGCTACCTCCTTCTTATCAGGTTTTCTTCCTTCCCAGTCCAGCTTTTTGTTATTTCTCTAGTATCATTCCCAGCAGTCTTCTAACATAAGACATTTTTCATTTTAAGATTTGTATTATCAATCCCTACATGGACATAGATGAGGATAATAAAGTAAAAAATATGAGGAATTTTAGAAATCTTTACAAGTTTTGTCTTTATCTCAGGGACTGTAAAAGATCTTGATCAAAAACTAATTGATAGGACAAATTAGGATGAAAAAATTATAAGAAAATTATACAAAATTATAAGAAAAAAGCTAATTGAAAGCAATATAAAATAATAACATCATAAATTTTATAATTGGACAAGCCTATAGGAATGATAAGGTATTACCCTTTCATTTCACAGATGGTAAAATTGAGGTCCCTGTAAGAGAAGTAACTGAACTAAGGTTATGCCGCAGACTAAAGCCAATCCTCTGTTTTTTCCTATTATCTTATCCCTGCTACCAATCATCTTAATGCTGGTATGTATTAAAAACATTTAGAAGTAAAGAAAGCATGAAGTAATTATAGTCAGGTTAGTCAAGTCTTCATTAAGATTCTGAAATCTGCTACCTAAGCATAAAGAAAACTGTAGAAATCTTTCACAGAGGCTATACAGACCCTGGAGAACCTTAAGACATCTGAGGAATATATTATTTGGAAAAAAAGATTGAGAAATATAAAACTGAAGATCTTTTTGTGTGAACATATTATCAAGTTCTACTAAGGATATTACATGATAAAGACTTTGTTGTTTTTCATAGTTTTATTGTCTCCTAAGTAATTCTCAGCTTCAAGATACTGCCTCTAAAATTTTAATTTTGAGTTCAGAAATGCCTACATTCAAGAATTAATTAATGGTATAAAACAAGTTATATAAAGTGACTTACCAAAGTGATACATTTAAGATAAAAACTCTAAATGCCCCAAATTAGAAAGTCAAATAAGTTAATAATGATGTTGTATATGAAAAATATAGTATTCTTTATTTAGTGCAGGGTTACTTAATCTCAACACTATTGATCTTTTGGACTGGATAATTCTTTGTTGTGGATGATTGTCCTGTGCATTGTACCAAAGATGTCTCCAGACATTATCAAATGTGCCCTCAAGGGCAAAATTGTACCCAGTTGAGAACCACTGATGCAGGGGTATAAGGAAATAGCAGATAATATGAAATGACAAAAACATGATAAAACCTATAATTTAAAAAATTAAAAAGACATGGTCATACTCAAATATAAGATAAGGATCTCTGTGGACAAAAGAAGAAATGCAACACAGAGAAACAAGTAGGGTTAAAACCACATGCTGGGCTCTGAGATCTAGAAGCATGAATTAACCAAAACAGAGGCTATCACTGAGACAAGACCTAGTCCAAACTATTCTCTGGCACAGTGACTGAATCTATATTACCAAAATCTCTGTGAGAAGGGAGTTCTGAGCCACCAACAATAGGCCAATTTTAAAAAAGGACCATTGAGGCATCTTAGAAACAAAAAATTCAAAAATTAAAAAATGAAATAAACTGTTCTTTGAACACAAAGAATTAATGAAACAAAAGATAATACTGAGAAATTCACCTGATTACAAAAATAAATGAAAAATATGAAAAAGAAATTATGAGACATGGAAAAGGTTGAATATATACCATAAAACTAAAAAGAGTTCCAAAAGAGAGAATATAGAAGTAGCAGAGAAGCAATACTCAATATTAAGAGATATAACCTAAGATTTTTTTACATTAAAAAAAATTTTTTTTTCTTAAACCTAAGGCATGAAATACATTAAAAAATTTTAAGTTTATACATAGTAAAATTCATTTTATTGGTGTGCAGTTCTACAAATTTTGACAAATACAAAGAGGGTTCAATCACCACTACAACTAAGTTACAAAACAGTTTTATCACCCCCCCAAAATTTCCTCACACTGCCTCTTTGGGGTCACACATTAACTGCTGCAACCACTGGTTATTTTCCAACTCTCCATCCTTTTCCCTTTTCCAGAATTTCATATAAATGGAATCCACAGCATGTGGCATTTTGAGTCTGATCTTTTTCACTCAGTATACTGTATTTAAGAGTCATCCATGTTGTTGTATGTATCAATATTTTATTTCATTTTATTGTTGAGTAATATTCCATTTTATAGTGATTAGGAATACATTTACTATACACTTGCATATAGGTCTTTGTTTAGACATATGTTTTTTTTTTTTTTTTTTTGGCTTAGGTGGATGAGATAGACATATGTTTTTATTTCACTAGGGTCATACAGCAAAAATATATCCAAATTCATATGAAAACTGACAAACAGCTTTTTAACGAAAAAAAATTTTTTTTTTTTTTTTGAGACAGCGTTTCACTCTGTTAACCTGGGCTAGTAGCTTACTGTAGCCTCAAGCTCCTGGGCTTAAGCAATCCTCTTGCCTCAGCTTCTGCATGCCTCTTTTTCTGGCTACTTTTTTTTTTTTTTTTTTTTTTTTTTAAGAGACAGGGTCTCACTATGTTGCTCAGTCTGGTCTTGAACTCCTGGCCTCAAGCAATCCTCCCACCTTGGCCTCCCCAAAGTGCTAGGATTACAGACATTAGCCACTGTGCCCAGTCTCAGACTGCTCTATAAAGTGGCTGCACCATCTTGCTTTCCTACCAGCAACATACAACAGTTCCAGTTGCTCCGTATCATCACTACCACTTGATATTGTCAGTTTCATTTTAGCCATTCTAATAGATGTGCACTAGCATCTCACTGTGGTTGTAATTTGCATTTCCTTCATGATTAATAATGTGGAGTATCTTTCCATGTGTTTATTTGCCATCCATATATCTTCTTCAGTGAAGTATCTGTTCAAATTTTTGCTGAGTCTTAAGAAGTGTTCACACATTCTGCATACAAGTCCTTGGTCAGATATGTAATTTGTAAATACTTTCTCCCAGTCTATGGCTTACCTTTTCAATTCTTTTAACTGTCTTTTATAGAGTCTAGGTGATGTCAACTTTATTAATTTTTTTCTTTTATAGATTGTGCTTATGGGTCCTATCTAAGAACTCTTTGCCTAACTTAAGTCACAAAGATTTTCTCTTACATTTTTTAAATAACATTTTTATAGGATTATGTGTTACATTTAATTTATGGTTCATTTTAACTTAATTTTTTATAAGCTGTGAGGTATGAGTAAAGTTATTTTTCTTTTTCTTTTTGCATATGGATATCCAAAGGTTTCAACACCACTTGTTGAAAAGATGATCTTTTTAGATTGTGTTGCCTTTGTAACTTTGTCAAAAATCACCTAACTATATTTTTGTAAGTCTATTCCTGTTCTCTTTATTGTGTTCCCTTGATCTATGTTATCTATCCTTTTAGCAATAACTATAACAAAAATAACATCTAACACTCATACAGTAAATAGTACATATATGCCAGGCACTGTTCAAAATGCTTTTTATATATTAACTTATTTAGTCTCACAACAACTCTATAAGTTAAGTACTATTATTTCCCCACTTTGCAGATGAGAAAACAGATGAAGTAAGTTGAGGCTAAGTAATTGTCTCAAAAGCATATAACTGGTAAGTGGGGGAACAGTAGCAACTTCTTTTTCTTAGAGGCAGGGTCTCCCTGTGTCACCCAGGCTGTAGTGCAGTGGCGCTATCATGGCTCATTGCAATTTCAAATATCTGGGCTCAAGAAATCCTCCTGCCACAGCTTCCTGAGTAGCTGAGACTACAGGCATGAGCCATCACACTCAGCAAATTTAAAGGAAAAACATTTTTAGAGATGAGGTATTGCTCTGTTATGTAGGCTGGTCTCAAACTCCTGACTTCAAGCAGCCTCCCAAAGTGATGGGATTATAGGCATGAGCCACTGTGTCCCACCTAGTAATTTAAATATTGCTAAGGTGAAGAATAATTGGGTGAAGAATAGAGACACTGAATATCTTTAGATTTTGTCAGAAAACCAATTAAGTGTGGGTGTTAAAAATTTAAGGGTAAACTAAAGCATTCTACAGATTCAATGCAATCCCTGCCAAAATACCAATAGAAATTCTTCACAGAAATAGGAAAAAACAATCCTGAAATTCATAAGAAACCACAAAAGACCTCAAATAGCCAAAGCAATCCTGAGTAAAAAGAACAAGTTTTGAGGGCCGGGCGCGGTGGCTCACGCTTGTAATCCTAGCACTCTGGGAGGCTGAGGTGGGCGGATTGCTCAAGGTCAGGAGTTCAAAACCAGCCTGAGCAAGCGTGAGACCCTGTCTCTACCAAAAATAGAAATAAATTAATTGACCAACTAAAATATATATATACAAAAAATTAGCCGGGCATGGTGGTGCATGCCTGTAGTCCCAGCAACTCGGGAGGCTGAGGCAGTAGGATTGCTTGAGCCCAGGAGTTTGAGGTTGCTGTGAGCTAGGCTGACGCCACGGCACTCACTCTAGCCTAAAAAAAAAAAAAAAAAAAAAAAAAGAACAAGTTTTGAGGCATCACACTACCTGACTTCAAAATATACTACAATGCCATAGTAACTCAAACAGTATAGTACTGGCATTAAAAACAGACACACAGACCAATGGAGCAGAATAGAGAACCCAGAAACAAAACCGTGTATTTGCAGCCAACTGATTTTATGTATGTATGTGTGTATGTATGTATGTATATATGTATTTATTTATTTGCCCTCTGA